TGTATAATATAATTAATATCCATTACTCAATGAATAAATGATAATTCTATTAATATTTAATTATCTTTTTCTTTTTGATTGAATATACTTCTTGAAGAATGTTATACCATTCTTTTTCTTTTACCTTCTTACTTCTTGAGTATTTCTGATTATTCTCCTTTATTTCATTCCCTTGCTATTCTTTTTATTCTTTCTTGTATATCATTTCTTGTTATTCATTTATATTTGTTATTTGTATAATCTTTATTATTATTGTTTATTTTGTTTTTTATTTGGTTTTCTTTGTGTCTTTCTCTTTGTATTTATTTTACCATTCATTTTATTGTGCCATTTATTGCTATTAACATTCATTCTTTTATATAACGCTGAACTTCTCTGTTTTGTTTGTTTTTCTTTACAATACACATTGATATTACTTAATAATCATTACAATAATATTTGTTGCGTTTCCTGCATTGGAAAAGGGTTTTAAAGAACAAGTAAATAATAAGTAAAAAAATAATCAATGAACAAAGTTCAAAGTAAGATGGTTTGATAATGCATACCATATTGCATAAATGATTTTATTAGTTGAATTAGTTTCTTTGATTAAATTAACAACTGTTTTTATGTTTTCTTTCTTTTCGATATCTTCTTCATTTAAATATAAATTATAACAAATAACACAACTATCTTCAAGGATTTGATTATCTGTTTTATATAATGTAATAGATTTTCTAATTGAAAGTAGTGATTCATTACAATAAAATTTATCGTGAAAACTTGATAATCGAAGTAAGTGTATTCCATATTTTTGAATAACAATATCGTTCATATATTTTATAGTTAATTGAATAATGTTATCAATGATTGTTGAATTTATAAAAATATCAATTTGTTGTTCTTGAAGATTATTTAATATTCCAAAACAATTACTAATGACAATTGAATTATTTTCTTTATCTTCTTTTAATTCTTCACCAATAATTTGGAGAATTGTATTAACAAAATCGGTGTTATTGATACTTTGTTTAGTGCAATAATATATTCCATTATATAATAATTCTTTTATCTCTCCTTCTGATTCTTGAATTCGATTTAAATAATATTGAGTAATAATTTCTTTATTTTCTTTACTAGTTAAATTACTAATAATTTGATTAAGTATTCTTAATAAATACTTTTGTATTTGAAAGTTATTATAATATTTTCCACTGACTGTCATTAACATTGTCCAAATTTCTTTATCAACCATATTTGTTATTAATACTCCATCTCCTTT